TAGGTACAATATGGTCGAGGCTTGGAAGACAGAGGGAACCGAGGCTTGTAAGGAGAACCAGAAGAAGCTTGAAAAGCTACAGAATCAGGAAGAGAAGGCAAGGCCAATCGCTGATGGTCTTCTTGAGTTATCATACTAAAAACTCGAGAGACATCAGGCAGAGGATCCAACATAAGGATTTGACGTCGGGCGAGATGAAAAGATTCATTGAGCTTCATTAAAAAACGAACAATGTTCTTTTTGTCCAGGTATTCAGTCAATCGAGTCTTAGAGTCACAAGTACAGGATCCACAATTGCAGATATTTACAGGATCATGCATCTTGAGTTCCTCCCAAAGAGAAATTAAGTTTGGTGAAGAAAGCATTAAGGTCCATAGATCCTTGTTAAAATAACTCGATTTGTTGCCTAGTGTGGAAAATTTTAGAGGTATTCTTCTGTTTATACCTAGTTTCCAAGGTAACCCATTTATTCCGAACATCATGGATGTAAATGATAGAGGTTTTGACTTCAGCAGTAACAGAATTGTTAATCCCAGCACCGATGAGAGCATTGCACCTTAACCAAGCACCATGATCAGCACTATTTTCAGGGGTTGAGAGATAGTACCGAATCTGGATGATAGATGTAGCCTAGATGTTGTAGTTCGACTCATCGACGAGTTTATCAGTAACCAAAGAGAGGCTGGAGGAATCAGCCGCATGGAGGTAAAGCGGGTTTGCATAAGGATCGAGAGAAGCAGGAGCAGCATCAGGGATGTTAGAAGCATCAGAAACAGACGCCATTGAAGGAATGATCTAAGAATGGGAAGAAGGAAATGAAGGAGAGGAAAAAACTCACAATTTTCTAGCTCTCTGATACCATATTAACTTTCAAATGTTTGATAAAGAAGAAGAACTCGAGGAATTGTAAAAATGCTTCTCTGAATTGATTAAAGGAATTTACAGGCTTATTTATACAACTAACAACACTAATCTAACAACCTAAAAACGAGAAAAAAGTGTACTAACAGAAGGAATATTCTTCTGCAACAAACAATCTATACAAGCATACAGGGAAGTAACAGAGCATTGTGGAAGGTGTGATAGCAGATGATCAAAGAAGAAGAGGCGCCAAGTGCAACGGTAACATGCTGTATAGATTAATATATTGTTGTCCCTAAATTTTTTTGCAACGAACGGTCAAGGGATGCAGTTTGGTGCTGTAGCATGCAGGTATGTTCAATTGTCTTTATTCGTGATTCATTTAATTTTATGTTCTTTTTAGATGAGGGAGGGATGATGAAAACGGATGCACAATAGTGCGTTTTCATTTATGTATAGGCTTCTGATTGTTTTTCTTCTCTCAATGTGAGCAGAAAGGGATTATAAGCACCGAGCAATTGCTAGCCCGGATGTTGTTGAGGAGAGATGGAGTCGCTGCTGTATATTTTGATTTTCCGCTTTCATCTGTCATGGCCTCTCGCTTGAGGTTTATTTGTGCCCGTGAAACGGCACAGAAGGTTTTATAGCATCTCATCGCTCCCTCCCGACATTTGTTTGCATATATTTGCTGTTTGTGCTTCATTCGTCGCTCAATACAGGTCCCCCGGCCGGACATTATGTGCGTTGTACCTTGTTGCCAAACGTTGACCCATTTCTGGCACAAACAAGACCTATTTCTCACCCAACCCGTCGCATTTTACGCCCTGACAACGCCCATCTACCGCCTCCTACGAGGCCCATATGTCGTCGTAATTTGTTATGCCCCATTTTGAGTATAAGTCAATTGGGCCGAATAATGGTCCTTATTGGGCCACACTGTGGGATTATAAGCCTCAATGTTAAGAAATTGGGTCTAAGTAGGTCGGGTTTCCTCCAAAATTACGTGTCTTATATGGCCGTCTTTAAGTCAGGAACGGGTCCATGTTTCGTCGAAATTAGGCCCAAATAAGATCTATAATTGGGTCCTATTCAACAACTTTGAGACCCACAATCTGGCCTATAATGCGAACCATATGATGGCCCATTGAGGCTCACAGCCCAATTATTCCGTCTTTGTCGCATTATTCCAGCGTTGGGCCGTTTGAATTGATTCCTGCCAGGTCCATAAACCACTGTCGACCCACTAAGTATGTCATTATAGCACCAAGATTGAGTAAAACTGCTGTTCAATCTTTCTTTTTTTGGTAAACATCTGCTGTTCAATCCTACGTTGTTGATTACAGTTAATTCGGCCGATTCTTCCTCGATTCAACCTGACATGAGTCTCAGTACATTTTACCAAAACCCAGGAACCAACTGTGACAATTCCCAGACCCAGGGAGTTCAGGAAAAAAAACACGGATCTGTAAAGGAAAATGAGAGACGATCATCCACGGCACGCCTCTAAACATTTTTTTTTTTGGTAAAGGTCACGCCTCTAAACTTTAAAAGAACCGATTGATAATCAGTGGATACCATCAACCACAACGCAATTCGAAAAAAGGATCGATATACGTACCTCAGCCCAGGCAGATCTGCATCTCCCCCCGCTAGCTTTCATCGCCTTCGCAATCGCGTAGTAGAGAGAGGAAGAGTGACGACGTCCCCTTTTAGACATTAATTTAATTCCCTTATAAAGCAGTAAGTATTTTTTTTGCCCACGCGCACCTTCTTTCGCATTTGGTCGATTTGGCGATTTTAGCCAAATTCCCCTGGACTATAGTATGCCCATTTCGGGGCCGTGGCGTCCACGCGCCAATGTAGCGCGTGAAGCTTCCGGCATTCATTAAGCAAACGCAAAAATAACGAAGCCGATTGCGAATGAAGTTTACCCGCTTGCACATTCCCTTACGGATACACACAAAATCGCGACTAAAATAGCTACGATGATCAAAGTGGTAAAATTTTTATCGCCACCAAGTTTTTTTTTTTGTTGAAAGTGCTTTGTTTATCGCCACCAAGTTTATATTTTCTTAGTGGATAATTATATATAAATCGCGAATCAGAAGAAAACACAAAGCTCTTATTGGACGTAGGTAATAATGTTCTCCAAATATTTGCCATAACATCTATATACGTTTCAATTGATGCACCTATTCAAAAATAGAAAGACGTAGAATGAAGACAAAATCATTTCCATTGTATAAGTAACACATAACACACTTCACCATGTTTACACGGACGACAAAATAAAAATAAAAATAAAAATAAAAATAAAATAAAAAATATGTAAGGGTGAGCAAACGGTTCAGTGAACATTTCGCTTCGGTTCTTCCCAACCGGACCAAACCGAACCGAAAAAATGGTACTTTTTCCGATCCGAAACCGTTCTCAATTCCCGAATGGTATTATTTTTAGCGAACCGAATTTTGCCGGAGCCGAACCGAACTTTAAAAATCCCGAAAAACCGAATATTTTTAAAGGAAATCTATCTTTTTTTTAATAAAATGCGGAATCGAATCGAACCAATACCAAAACCGAACCAAACCGAACATAATATAAAAACCGATTGATACCTATTTCTGCAAAACCGAAAAAATCGAACCGATCCATTCACGTCCCGAACCCGAACCGTTTTCCAAAATACCCACCCCTAGTTCAGTCAAATTTATTCCTTGGTCATATTCTATTATTTCTCATTTTAAGAATTTATAATAAAACAGTTATTTGATTTTAATCGATTTTAATTCGTTCTGATTATATCTAACTAAAATTGTAACAAATAATAACAAAATATAAATTCAGTCTGAAACAAATGTCGAATGCTGTTGTAAAAAAATAAAGGCAGGCCTCATTATTTTCGTATACCATATTTGCAAAACTACATGAACCTTATTAAATTAATTTCTCTATTCAAATATAGTATGTAACGGACGGCAATACAATGGTGGACAAATGGTTCAATTCTGTTTATTAAGTTAAGATTAATCCCAATTCAATTTATTAGGTTACAGTTAGTTCAATTTTGAGAATACATTACCAAACAATGATTCAATTCGGTCCGGATCAACGATAATTGATTCGATTCGTCATTGTGATTACAGGTCTGGACAACTAACTAGGTCTCCAGATAGTGCACCTGATACGTATCACACATCGGAGAAAGAGAGGGATTTGGGATCAAGATGTAAGGAGGATCAAATCTCCACTCTTAAACTAGTTTTTGGGTGGAGTTAGGTTCCAAATTATGTCAATTGGTATCACAGCCTAACTCTCTACTCTCCGATATGCCTTTGACAGACCGTTCTCCTACGGACATGCGATTGACTCGGTGACTGTGGGACGATCAGGAGAGGAACGGTCGGGATGGACTGAGAAGCTACCAGCGACCGAGAAACTGCCATCGATCGAGAAGCCGCCAACAACCAGATTTGCCCCAATGTCGTGGACATCGTTATCTAAAGGGGCGGTATTGATAAGTCTCCCACATCGGAGAAAGAGATGGATTTGAAGCCAACATATAAGGAAGGTCAAACATCCACTCTTAAGTTAGCTTTTGGGTGGAGTTAGGCCCAAACTATATCAATAATTTAATAGAATCCACCCATCAATAATGGACCCAACTAAAGCTCAAAGCTCATGGGTAGAACTCACCCCAAAAGCTAGTTTGTTGGGGGAGGGTGCCCATATTCTTATATTGACTCAATTTTTCCCACATATTTCCGATGTGAGACTCTAACAATACCGTTTCCTTTGGACAACGACGACCACGGTGTTGGCGGCTATGCACCCTTTGTGCTCCTCTCCCGTCGCGTCGCCCGCATGTCCGAGGATTGGTTGGCTCTGATACCAATTTGATAGAACTCACCCATCGATAATGGGTCCAACTAAATCTCAAAGCCCATGGATAGAACTCAACCCAAAAACTAGCTTGTTGGGGAAGGGTTCTAACAATTAATAAAGTTTAGACACTAATTCCACCACAAAAACTAGATTAAGAATGGAGGTTTAACCCTCGTTATATATTGTTTCCAAATCTCTCTCTTTCTCCGATGTGAGATACTTATTAGCACCTTGGAGTCCTAAAGCCGAAACAAGAATAGGAACCCAACTATATCCTGCGATCGCATAGCAAAGCACCTAATTCGATAGAGGCGTACAAATAAATAAATAAATAAATAAATCTGAAAACAAAGAACGGATTACACCCTCAATACCCACGAACGCAAGAAAGATTTGAGCAGAATAAGCAGCAAGAGAAAGTGGACCGAACCTACGTAGAAAGGCAGCTCGTATGGCTTAGAGAGCACTAAAAAAACCTTCTTCGGTCTCAAGTCTAGTGTAAATGGCTGGGTCATGGGAAAGTTGATAAGAAATTTCGTGATATCAAAGATGACCTTATCACCTGATGCCTTGGGATCGGCATCTGCTGGGCTGATACAACAGATTGTAATAGTATCCAGAAACTGCAATATATATCTATATATATATAATAAGGATTAGCAAAGTAGAAAAACTTGTTATCACTGATAAAGATCACTAACCTACTTCATCACCTAGCATTAAACCCATCAAATATCACCTCTATATAAAATAGAAGCCCTGACCACCCTACTACTGTCCAAGCCAACATTCTCACATAAACCATTTTACGAACTCTTACTTCATCTCTTTGCAACTTGACCGGGGAACATAATATTTGAACGGAGAGGAGAAATAAATAACGAAATAATTAACAAGAACTCACCGGGCACCTCATAATCCTGCATTCGCTTCGTTTCAGGAGGAAACCCAGATGAAACTTTCAAACTAACCGCATCCACTTGGATTTCATAGTACAATGTCAACCAGTTGGGATTGGGACACCAAGAGACTGACAATGCATAAGAAAAAATGGAAACCATATAAGCCAAGGACAGACTATATCCACCATTCTACCATATGAATTCATTTAGCGAAATTAGAAAGAAAAATTGGAGGTTTTACCCTGTAGAAAAGGAACTCACAAGTGTGGCACTGCCTTCAAGATATCCTGCTGCTGGATTGCAAAAGTTCCACCAGGAATTGAAATCTTGGCCACCTTGCCTCAGCCTTGAATAATTGCCCAACAATCTTGAACAACAAAGTAATTTCCAAGATCGTTAACATCATGATTTGGCATCTGTAAGTAGATGCCTCAGTAATTCACTTCTATCATCAACCATCAAAACATCAAAAAGTGCATAGTACTCACTAACTACACGGCAGCAGGTCTGTAGTCTTCATAACTAGAATCAGCAACCACAGCAATCCTCCACGACTCGGACCGGCAGCAAGCCATATTCTGCCCTTGGCAAGCCAGGTAACCCCATAGAACAAGGAAAACAAAGCATACTCAAAGCAATTATTCCGTCACTTACAAATCATAGGGAGTAACCAACAAAATAGATTCTCTTTCGCCACCGCATGGACCACTTATAGCCCTACAAAATTGACATCACAAGAACAACTCAATGTACTCCACCATCGCATGAGATGTAGGATCTGATAAGATGTGCAATAGATGAAATTGATTCACTTCAGGGCAGAGCTACTGATAAAAAAAAACTTCTGCACCAAAGTCTGACATGTATTTCCCAATCAGACTCTGCACTTCACTAGAGAGCAAAACATCAAAAAATGTTATCAGACTATAAATTTTGCAAGTGATAGATCAATGAGTAACTTGGATAATCGAAAAAGCCGAAGAATATGTAACTCAATAGCACATCTGGAAAAAGATGCAACTGAAAAACAAAATGAGGGCAACACAAATTTTCTCGCATTATGTCAGTCTATTCGAATTATGGGAATATTTATGGAAACATACACACCCCGGCCTTCACAGTTCTTCACAAATCCACATCCATCTGAAGCAGCCCAACTAGAGAGCATATAATGAGTAGAACCTGAAAAAGTACACCAACGTGAACATCATCAATTAATAGATTGGAATCAAAGGTGTCTTTAAAAACTCCTAGAAACTCTAATCCTTATTAGTTTTGTACCCAAAAAACTCCTCCTTAAAATGCAGTAAATTGGTTGATTCCGCGTTTTTAGGATGTTATATTAGAAAATGCTGAGTACGAAATTGCTTCAATCATATAGTTTCTGTAGCATTTATTTCACTTCTATCACCGATGACCTAAACTAGTATAGCAAAACATAAACATGAGATAAGAGAATCCAAAACCCTAGAAACCGTAAATCTTGGTAACCTGGCGCTAGATTATTCTCGGAGACGCAGTTTTTCATCCTCAACACCAACAACAATAACAGCACGGAAACCCTAGCCGCGGAGCTCACACTAGAATCAAACAATTCAGAAATTCAACCACGCAAAACATCGAACTAAGCGAGATAGGCTTCGAATTCAACCGATCAAAACCTAGAAAATGAAAGAGAAGCGGAGATACAAACTACGGCTGGAACCAAACAGATCCAGCAATTCAAACGATCGAACCGAGACAGACTCAAAATTCAACCGATCGGAACCGAGACAGATGAGAAATTCAACTTTCGGAACCGAGACAGGTCAGAAATTCAAAAAAACAACGAGAATCAAGGAAATAAAAGAGAAGCGAAGACAAAGAATCCAAGCTACACGATCGATCTCGGCTTGAACTGAGGGATCCATCGGCAAACTCCATCTTGATCACGATTCGATGAGAGCACTCTCCCAGATTCGAATTTCTGAGGAACCATCCCGCGCCCGCACGATGGAATGGATTATCAAAGGCGGTTACACTGATACGTAATCATTGGGCTTCGACTGATTGATTATATGAGCCCATAACAATTTGCAAAGTATATAAATCAAAGGATATCTTCTCTCTTAGGCCCATTTTAATACAAAATACCTATATGTGCCATGTGGTGATATATATTTATTTTCCATAATAATAATAATAATAATAACAGCAGCAGCAGCAGCAGGCCAAGATGCCCGTTTCTACCTCTTTTATTTCTTTTTTAAATTTCCAAAGATGATGTGATTAAAATCTTATTATCTAGGAACATCAACAGAGGTGATGCAAAATATTTTTAGCAAGGATTTGTGGAGTTGTGAAATTTCGAATTATAGAAGAAAAAATTATATCCATGTTAGGTAACGTATAATTAACAAACACACGATTAATTAATAATAAATATGTGTAGACAGGAAGTGTAATAATGCAATGGATATTGTGGGGATGATTTTGGAGTCACTTAAAAGGGAAGCATGGTGTGGAGGCTTGTGATGTCCCCAATCTCAGAGGCAAAAAGGTCACCCATTCTTCCATTTCACGTGTCACCTTTTCACTTATTATTATATTATTATATTATTGTTTTTATTTTTATTTTTTTGGTAAATTATTGATGTTGTTATTAATATTATATCCCAATTTCCACTTTAAACCCAAAATTTTCACGACAAAAAAGATTGGAATGCTAATCAAATTATGCATGTGAAGATATATAGGTTTACGGTTGAGGAATAAATATGGGATATATTTCGTGAGAGTTGGTCCAAACTTCGGTTAGATCGCATCCTCTTATGGTAGCAGTCGCAGAACACATCAAAGACATTTTCTCCACAAGTGGTTGAGCTGTCACATTCAACTGCCCCTAAATAAATCTCCTTCATTAAATTAAATGAATATCAAATTGTTTGCATGTGCTGATGAATACGTCCTACCGTTACAACTGATACGTTGCACTCGTAATTTTAAGTTAACACGACATCAAAATAATTAAATCACAAACAACCGCAAAGACCTTTGCGTCTCCAAAGCTTAAATACGCTCCATATGACTCTTTAAGTCAAATATACTAATTAGGCTTACATTATATAATAATATATTAACATAAATGTTAAACAAAAGACTATATTATTGTTATTATTATATCACCTAAAATGCCTTCCCACAAATTGTGGTGTCCATCCAAACCCGACGTTTTTATTATATATATATATATATATATATATAATAATCTCTACATAAAGTGAACTATAGAGCGAACATGAATATTCGAATCGACTGTAGAGTAAAAATAATTTAGAAGGAAAAAAAATAATAACACTATAAACACCTTTTTACCGCTTTACCCCTAACTGTTTTGCATACCCCTCCCTCCCCGCCAAAAAAAAAAAGACAACCAGTTGAGATATATATATATATATATATATATATTTACATCTCTACACTAGACTCACAGAAGCGACAAAATTCCATCTCTGTCCGCATCAAAACACCAACGATATACTTCTCCGGGAAAAATCACCGGAGCTCTGGTCATCGGAATCTTCATCAAGCCCCAACCGAGCAACCATGTTGGTACCCGACAGTGACACAACTCGAGCCTTTAATTGTCTGAGAATTGGAACCACCGTAGTTTCGATCCATTCTTCCAACAATGTCTCGCCCAACCACACAACGCTGAAGACTCTCTCAAGTGCCTCCTCCTCTATATCTAACGATAACGAATCTCCCACTATTTTCTCGAACCTCTCCGACAATGTATCAGTGATTTTCTGCTTCACAATGCTAAAATCCACCGCCCTAAAAGCCACTGCATCATCAAGACGACTGACCAGCTCATGGAACGTGAAGGGCACGCACTGAAGCGAAAGCTTGCATCTAAACCCTTGATCTTCTTGATCGTGGTCAGCCGTTAGATCGCTGCCATCAGGTCTATCGTCATCCGCTTCGGCGACCTTGTTCAGATCAAATGACAGAACTGTTCCATGTTCCTTCTTCGGTTTCCTTGCCCTTTCCTCGTGCTTATACAGCCAACTTGGTCGGCGTTTCCCTCCTTTCTCTTCTAACCTCAACTTCAACCTCCAGTTTTCGCTCGCCAAGCTTTGGAGTTTTGCTTCTTCGTCTCTGATGGCCATTTTCGGATCATGCCAACTGGCTGTCATCACGAAAATCACATTTCCTAGGCTTATCTCACGGCCATGTGAGTCGGAAAGTCTGCCCTTCTCCATTGCCCTTTTTATGCTTCCCCGCAACAACACATCTGCTTCATCGATGTCTTCGAGCACAATTACAGAGAAAGGATTCCTCTTCACTGTCTCTGCAATCCTGTCTAATGCAGTTTTACCGCGGAAACTGAAATTTGCATCTCCATCATCCCGTCTTGACCCGAGATGGATTACCGTTGGACAAGTTCCATAGACAAGGTTGGATAGAGCCGATACCATCTTTCTCTTTCCGACTCTGTCAGGCCCAGAAAACAGCAACCAGACATCTCCCTTTGATGAAACACCACGCCGTTTTCCATTCCCGAGCTTGCACTGGCTGACGGTGGCAGCTACAGCAGACGCTGCGTCGTACTGCCACCAGACCTTTTCAGTCATGCCCTTCAACAGCTTCTTGAACAGATCAATATCCAACGAGTTTCCAAGTTTCTCTCCTTGAAGAACACCGACCTTGTCGGTCTGAGATTCAGATGATAGGCAACCCAGAAAGTCTCTGACTTGCATTTCCTCAGGTTTCTCAGAATCCTGAAATAAGCAATGAAGTAAACAGGTTACAACAAATGGATTTTGTTCACAATTCAAGATTTGCGTCAATATACTGTAAATTTGCATTCGTTAACAAAAACTGCACTACAAAGGACAAACCTTTAGTCTTGGAAGAGCCAGATCTGTCCGAACAGGGCTAAGGGGAGGACTCTTCGCCTGTTCTCCTGTAGAACTCACAGAATTCAAGTGAACCCTCTCGCACAACTCTCTGTTTGCATGCAACTTGGGCGGCAATGGTTGCCGAAGAAGCAGGTTTGGGCCATATTTAGTCGTAGTCAGTGCTATAGGCATGGGAACGATCTTCTCAGTCTTGTGGTGAAAGCCAGGATGAAGAAGCATACAAGCATCGTTCCATTTCTTTTGCAGCTCTTGAACTTTCCCCAGCTGCACCACAAATTTGTAAATTAAAATTTCAGCAGATTAGTATCTACGCTTATTCAAAACCGCTCAGAGGAGAGGAAGCCACAGAGCTTATTTAGACACATAAACTATATGACTTGACACAAAACTGGCAAGAAGTAAAAACCATAAACCGGCTTCTATGGAGCTTACCGGTGGCTGATGGACCGATTTAGCACTGGCATGGCCACCGCCAGCGTTGAACAACCATGGCGGCAGTTGCTTCGACTGATCCGCGTCCGGTTTAACCTCAGGAGATGCAACATCAAGTTGAGAGAGCTCTCTCTGGTAGTTCTGCAAGCAATTCGGGCAGCATTTCACCATTTTATTCGCGGCAACGAAACTCTTCAATGGCGTGAATGACTCAACCGACGACCCTAATTTGTTCCCGAGAATCCTATCAAAGTTAAAGGAACTGTCAACTATCAAACGGAGAATGTGCAACCGCGCAGAGTTAAAGAAAAATCGCAAAGTTGAGATCTTTCGAGCAGATGAAATCGACCCACCTGGGAAAAACTCCGGTCGGAGGAGCTTTGGCAGCGACGGGCACGGCCTGGAGATCCCAGTCGTTCTCCATCGTCGGATGATAAACCTGACATCTCAGGTAAGTCTCGCACGTCGCCGTCCCGATGAACCAAAGTCTCCCTTCGAATTTCTCCAGAAGCCTCCTCAGCTCCGCCACCGCCGTTCGCCCCACCTCCACCGCAATCGCCGGCGTCTGTGTCGCTCCTGAGCCCACCGGCTGCAGCCATTTCAAGTCCCCCAGATCGAGAATAACCCCTTCGCAGCCTCCGGGATCCAATTTCCTTATCAGGATCTCGAGAAGACCATCGAATTCTCTGATTCGCACTGCTCTATCCGGATTAATTTCCTCGAGATGAATCACCTTCACGTCCTTCACTGGTAGATTTCCGCGTTCACCGTCCTCGATTTTCTTTAGAACCTCGAGAATCATCCGACCCGGCTCCGAATCGCCGACGAGAACAGGGTTTCTTTTCTTCGCCCGACCAAATATGTCCATGACCCGCTCCATCTCGTCGTTCTTCTGCTGCCCCAATTGCGTGGAAGCGCCATGTTGAAGCCGCGGGTTCAGATATGAGTTCCGGATCGCCGGACCGGGTGTCGGAACAGGTCTGAAGTTCAATCCCACCGGAGAAGCACTCCTCGGCGGCGTCGGATTCGATGAATTGCTACTCAGCGACTGTTCAATTGTGGCTTTGACGGCTGGGCTGGAGAAGCTGGCCTCTCGCATGACCCGACTCACGCTCGGGTCATCCAAAATCGATATGATTAGCTGCTCAAGCTCCACCTTCACCGCCAAGAGCGGCTGG